TAATGGTGGAAATAATGGACAATAATATGAAAACACACCTGATTGCAATCTCTGCTCTGAATGACAATCAAGAAGAATTGTATAGAAAATTACATATGAAAATAATTGAACTGGACTATGCTAATATAGTTATGATGGCAGACTTTAATGGAATTGTAGATAATAAATTGGACTATACAGCACAGAAAACAACAAAGCAAAACAGAAAGACTCTCCCTAAATCTTTTTTTAAAATGATAGATGAAATAAATTTAAAAGATGCATGGAGAGAAAGAAATGCTAAGACTAAACAATGCACCATCTATTCAAACAGACATTTATCATGGTCCAGAATAGATATGATATGGATGTCAACAGAATTGTTAGCTAATATTCAAGAAATAAATATTGAAACAAGTACTTGGGCAGATCACAATCCAATGACAATTATATGGAAAGGACAAAGAAGAAGATCTAGATGGACGTTAAATAATACTATATTAAAGGAAAAAGACTTCATACAGAGGATGGAGAAAGAACTGGCTTTCTTCTTTGGAAAAAATAAAAAAGAAGATACATCAGTGCAGAACGTATGGGACACAATGAAGGCATATGCCAGAGGTTTGAAAATAGACTATACAAGGCAAAGAAATACCATGAAAAGACTAGCCTCTAAGGAATTGTAGGATGAGTATAAAGGACTTGAAAAAGAGCTACAGAAAAAGCCACAGAAAAAGGACATTAAGTTAAAAATGGATATAATTAAACATAAAATGGGACTAATGGAAAAAGAAGAACTAGCACAGAAAATCAGAGGTGCGAAACAGAACTATTTTGAAGATGCAAATAAGCCAGGTAGATGGTTAGCATATAAATTGAGAAAGGAGAAAGAATCAAGGAAAATATTGCAGTTCATAGATGATCAAGGCCAAGTTTGCTATGGTAGTAAAGAGAAGGAAATTATACGAGACTATTATGGGAAACTATACACACAAGAGAATATTGATGAGGAGAGTTAAACAGTACTTACAGAATGCTAATCTACCCCAGATACCTAAAGAGATTGAAACAATGTTAGAAAGCAATATAACGATGATGGAGTTAACTGAAGCACTTAAGAAACAAAACAATGGAAAGGCACCAGGCCCAGATGGACTTCCGGCAGAATTTTATAAAACACTACAAGAATAATTGAACCTTCCATTGCTAGAAGTTATGAATGAAGTTATGTTAAAGAAGAAGATACCCAAATCATGGTCAGAAGCTTATATTACACTTGTCCCAAAAGAAGAGGCTGATCCATTACAAATCAAGAACTATAGACCTATTTCCTCACTAAACACAGATTATAAAATTTTTGCTTCAATATCGGCAGAGACTTAAAAAATACTGAAACAATTTTATCCATCCTGATCAAAATGGATTTCTGCAAAAGAGACATAATAAGACAATATGAGAGTAATCTTGGACACTTTGGAATACGCACCCTGAAAAACAAATGGCTTTGATATTTTTAGATGCACAGAAGGCATTTGATAATGTGAATTGGCAATTCATGTTACTACAGCTGGAACAGATAGGCATTGGTAAAAAAATTATTCAAGCAATAGAAGCTATATATCATAACCAAACGGCAAAGATAATGATAGAGGGAGAGCTGACAGACTCTATTGATATAAGAAAAGGAACAAGACAAGGGTGCCCACTATCACCTTTGTTGTTTGTGTTTACCTTGGAAGTGTTAAACAGAAATATTAGAGAAGAAAAGGATATAAAAGGGATGAAAATTAAAAAGGAAGAATTTAAGTTGCAAACATTCGCAGATGATCTGGTTTTCATGTTAGAAGACCCACTAGAAACAGCACCAAAATTGATAGAAAAGATAGAGGTATATGGAAAAGTGGCTGGTTTGAAAATAAATAAAGATAAAACAAAGATTTTGACAAAGAATATGTTATTAAGACAAAAGGAAGAATTGGCGAATGTTTTGAAAATTCAGGTCACGAATAAGATCAAGTACTTGGGGATACATTTGACAGCAAGATGTAGTACACTAAAAGAGAATAATTATATCAAACTTAAACAGCAGATAGCGCTAGATCTGGCGAAATGGGAAAATTTACAATGGTCATTAATAGGGAGAATATCAACAATCAAGATGAATATACTACCCAGAATTTTATATTTGTTCCAAACAATTCTAGTTAGGCTTGGAAAAGGTTATTTTGAAGATTTAAATAAAATTGTGTTGAAATATATATGGCAAGGTAAGAAAGTGAGAATAAAGTTAAAACTTTTGCAAGATGCCAGAATAAGAGGAGGATTTGGTTTGCCTAATTGGGAGTTGTATTACCAAGCTACAAATTTGATGTGGGTTAAGGAATGGATAACATTAAGAAATACTAGATTGTTGACACTAGAAGGACATGATCTGTTGTTGGGCTGGCATATATGGAAGATTGCTTGATGTTTTTATGTTCTGTTTGTCTGTCTTAAAAACCAATAAAAAAAATTTAAAAAAAGAAATTGAGTTTGACACCCCAGCTTAAGGGATTAGATCCAAATGTGGTTTGATTGCTTGATTTTCATTGAGGGTAGGAGGTTTTCAGTTCCTCAGATGTGGCTGGATTTGAACTCCTGCCAGCCAAAATCCCCTGGAACTAGTTTCCCAATGCCAGAGAGAAATAAAAGTATTAACAGAAGCACAGTTTTCACCTAAAGTTTGGATAGCTTAATTTAAAACCAAATTTTAGAATATCGGAATACAGGTAGTCCTCGACTTACAATACTTCATTTAGTGACCGTTCAAAGCTACAACAGCACTGAAAAAAGTGACTTTGGACTGTTTTGCCCTTATGACCATTGCAGCATCCACATGGTCACACAATCAAAATTCGGACACTTGGCAACTTGACTCATATTTGTGATGGTTGTAGTGTCCCGCGAACCCTTTTTGTGACCTTCTGACAACCAAAGTCAATAGGGAAGCCAGATTCACTTAACAACCGTGGTACTAACAACTGCATTGATTTGTTTAACAATGGTGGCAAGAAAAGTTGTAAAAGTGGAGCGAAATTCACTTAAGAAACAGAAGCAATAGAAATTTTGGGCTCAGTTGTAGTTGTAACTCAAGGACGAACTATATCAAATCAACAATTAATGGGTAAAGATTTATTAAATCATTATTTAACTGGCCCCCAGTAACTACAGATAGTCCTTGACTTACAGCAATGCATATGGTGACTGTTTGAAGTCAAAACAGCACTGAAAAATATGACTTATGACAGGTCCTCGCATTTGTGACCATTGCAGTATCCCCATGGTCAGCTGATCAAAATTTTGGGCATTTGTCAACTGGCATGTATTTCTAACAGTTGGAGCGTCCTGGGATGATACGATGGCCATTGGTACAGTTCCCAGCTGGCTTTTGACAAACCAAGACATTGGGGGGGGAGCCAGATTCATTTAGCGACCACGTGATTCGCTGAACACCTACAGTGTTAACAGGGCAAAAAAGCTCCTCAAATTCGGTATACACAGTCCTCGACTTATGACAATTGAGCCCAAAATTTCTGTTGCTAAGTGAAACATTCATTAAGTGAACTTTGCTCCATTTTACGACCTTTCTTGCCGTGGCTGTTAAATGAATTATGGTGGTTGTTCAATCAGCAACATGGTTGTTCAGTGCATCTGACTTCCCCATCAACTTTGCCAGTCAGACGGTCGAAAAAGGTGATCAGGCAAACCCAGGACATTGCAACCGTTCACAGGTTCCTGGTTGTGAGGCAAGAGTTCCACCTCTATGCCACCGCACCACTCTGTTAATTTTCCCATGCTTATGTGATCAAAATTCAGATGTTTGGCAATTGGTTCATATTTATGACTGTTGGTTTGTCATGGGGTCACATGATTCTCTTTTGTGACCTTCTGACAAAGACAATGGGGGAAGCCAGATTCACTTAACTGTTATACTAACTGAACAAATGCAGTGATCCACTTAACAACTGTAGCAAGAAAAGTCGTAAAATGGGGCAGAACTCACTTAAATGTCTACCAACAAAAACGTTGGGGCTCAATTGTGGTCGTAAGTTGAGGACGACCTATATAACTGTATTCCTTTTATTGCGAAGGCAACTTTTTTTTCAATTTACGTATGTACACGCATGTGTGCCTACGCACCTTCACAGCTCTATTGATTCTGCCCTCCACAACAGTCTGTTTCTCATGTGGGAAAATTAATTACCTACCCAAGGCAAACTGCATACAAATTTCTGCCTGGTATAGGCCGATACCAGTTACTGTCGTGTTTCCCCCAAAATAAGACCAGGTCTTATATTAATTTTTGCTCCAAAAGACGCATTAGGGCTTACTTTTTGGTTAGGTCTTATTTTCAGAGAAATATAAGTAAACACATCCATCTGGCTGACAATCTTTTAACTGGGGCTTATTTTTGGCGTAGCTTATATTATGAGCATCCTGAAATATCATGCTAGTGCTTATTTTCTGGTTTATTTTTGGGAAAACAGGGTATCTGGAGGATTAAAAAGTTTCCATGTTCAACTTAAAAATATTCAAGTTGTTTTTCTCCTCCTCTGCCTCTCCACCCTTCATGAATGATTGCCACTTGGTAAAAACAACACTATCTTGTACTTATCATTTATCACCCAGTTTTGAGTTCTTTAGACCACGCCACCAAGATCAGGAAGTTAAAAGTCTCCATCGAAGCGGTGGTTGCATTGCATGCCATCTACCGGACAGATGAATGGCCAGGCAGTGAGGATGGAGAAACCGAAGAGGGGTAAACAGGCTTCCATTATGAAAAGGATTGTTGCTAGTTTTTTCAGAGCCAGCAAAATAAACTTTCCAAATCTTTTTTTAAAAATTTTTTTGTTTAGTTTGGCTCCAAAGTCAAAAATATCAAGAGTGCTAACAGCTATGAAAGGAAAAAAAAAAGTTGAGAAAGCCCCATGCCCCCAACCCTTCCTCCCTCCCTGGCCTGGATCAGGCGGACCCCAAGGGTCAGGGCAAGAAATGCATTTAACTCATCCATTTCAATGCTCATTCATTGGAGACCCACGCGGCAACCCTGGAAACAGATAAATACAAACGGGGAGCTTGACAGTTAGAAAAGGCGGGTGGGGGAAAGGTGATCCCGTAAAAGGGGAACAAACAAAAAAAATAAAGAATAGAAAGAAGCAAGAATCTTTTCTTTTGCTTGTGTCCTAATCTCCCAGTCCTGCTTGCCTGCGTCTTTAGGAAAGCTTGGCTGTGTATTCCTTTCCATCACAGTTCCCAGGTGGATTTCCTGTTGTCACTTGCATTGGAAAAGCGCAGCACGATTTCATTTTTCCTTGTCAGTTCAAAACGCCAACAGAATGAGCAGTTGGCTTGAACTTTTGAGTTCTTGACATGAGTGTAATACTTTAAACAGTCAACCAGCTCCTCTTGCCAAGGCTTCCAAGGGTGGAGACACAGGGTAGGGGGGGGAAATGGGAAAGAGTCCCTATGCAGAAGGTGGTTTGGAGTGGATATACCTCTCCCCCAAGGAGGATAGTGGGAAAGAGAGGGGCAGTGGAAGCTGCAGAGAAGCATGGTAAAGTCACTCCCCATTCCTGAGTCTCGTCCAAGACGGCCTTCTGTGCTCCCTTTCCTCTGGCATGGTTTTTGTCCATCATGTACATGGCTTGGAATTGTCTCACAGTGAATTGATCCATGTGAATGGTTCGGAAAAGATGTGGAGAAGAAAAAAATAAAAAACCCAAAATATGCTCCAGAGAAACAAAACAAGGGAGCCAAGGGGGTGTGGATGTGGGAAAGGTGGAAAAAAAGTTTGTGGGGAGGAGCTGACCACCTCTCCTGGGACCCTAAAGACTGGTTGATGGAGGGAGCCCTCTGTAGCCCCCCCCCAATTTTGCTCACCTCCCTCCCCCAACTGACTGATGGGAAAGGTTTGTCATTGCCCCAATCTACTTCCTCTTCTTCTTCAGTGGGGCGGAACTTCGGCCGGGACTGAGACTGTGGGAGCTGCGGTGGTGTCCTGAACTCTGGGAGGGGGGAACCTTCCTCTTGCAGTTCATGGTGCGCTCCTCCTCCTCCTCGTACCGACTCTCTTGATCAGCTGTGGGGAAGGGAGAGGGAGAAGTCAGAACCTCCACAAAGCTAAGGGTGACATGATAGCAGTGTTATCACAAAGCAGAGGGGGTCCACCTGTTCTCCAAAGCAGCACAAGGCAGGACAAGAAGCGATAGATGGAAACTAATCAAGGTGAGAAGCAACCTGGAACTAAGGAGAAATTTCCTGACAGTGAGAGCAATTAATCAGTGGAACAACTTGCCTCCAGAAGTTGTGAAAGCTCCAACACTGGAAGATTTTTAAAAGATGTTGGATAACTGTTTGTCTAAAATGGTATAGGGCAGTGTTGATGGCTAACCTTTTCGGCAGAGTGCCCAAAGTGTGTGTGCGCGCGCATCCCCAAAATGCAATACGTGCGCAGCCCTCGTGCATTTGCTCCACGCATGCGCATGCGTCCCCTGCATATGCCTCCCGCCCCCCACGTAGGCACAGACCTGAATACCAGCTGGCCAGCAGGAGGTGCGTGTACACATGCGTGGCAGAGCTGAACTGGGGCAACAGCTCGCATGCCCACAGAGAGGGCTCTGCATGCCACCTCTGGCACATGTGCCATAGGTTCACCATCACAGGTATAGGTGCTCCTGCTTGAGCAGGGGGCTGGACTAGAAGACCTAGAACAGGGCTGTCAAACTCGCAGCCCATGGGCCAGATGCATCACACACTGGTCACGTTCGCACCTGGTTTAGCGAAGGGGGAAAGTCGCAATACATCACATGACAACACTGTGACGATACAAGTTTGACACCGCTGAGCTAGAAAGTCCCTTCCAATTCTGTTATTCTATTCTATTCATGAGGGGTTCTTGGTGTTCTATGAGCTTGTTTTCTTGCAGACATTTCATTAGCCTAACTAGGCAACATCATGAGTGCTGTTTGCTGTCAGTTTATATTCTGGTGTCTTGCCTGTCAGTGTGGGCGGCAGCAGTCTTAGGAGTTTCTTTGGTTGGGCTATTTACTGTTGGCTCTTTGGCAGTTCTATTCATGCAGTATGATGGATGAATATTCTATTCATTCATTGCGAACCACGCCAGTGAATGTGTTCAGACCCAACCCTGTTACCAGCAAGAAAATCTCAAACGCAGCAACTGAAACCTTCACAGCTTTAATCTACAAATAAACTTCTTTTTGTAGATAAAAGATGGCTTGCAGCCAATTAGTCCAACCAGAAAAGCCTTGACAGAATTCTTCAGATAAGCCGGAGTCTCTACACACAATGCTGGGTCCTTAGAGCATTTTTGCCTTCTGCAAAGGCAAAAACCTTTTGAAACCAGGCTTATATTCCCTGGTGGGAGGGGCCATTATGTTGCATCCTTACTTCTGAGTCGCCTGTGCTGCTCTAGCTGTTCTCTTCTATGAATCATCCTGTGCTCACGTGCATTTGGCACAGGCTCCTCGGGAACCTCCTCATCACTGCTGCCAGCCCCCACAATCCCTGAAGGCAGCAGTCCACTCCCTGATGGTCCCGGCCCCCATTCGAGTCTTTGCTCTCCTCCACCGTCAGCACCTGCTGCTAGTTAACCACAACAGAATGAAAATCATTTCTCTGATTTGATTTACACAGCCGCCCACACAAAACAACTCGGAAGCAGTATTGAATTCAATGCTAAAAACTGAACTATGATAAATATAGCAAGGTTCATGGTACAAATTCCATCAGCCAACACAACAATCAAAAGAATCCCGAGTTTGATTCCTGCCAATGCCTGGCAGAAAAGCCTTATGCAAGGCCCAGAGGATCGGGGCTCTTTGGATGAAGCCCAAGGCACCCCAAGGTGGTACTGCTTAAGACAGACCTGGGTATTCATTGGCTCCCAGGTCATATCTGGCCCTTTGGCTGACCCCGTCTGACCCACAGGGGTCACTATAATGGCCCTATTGGTTCATCCCTCCACAACAGTCCAAGTTTCACATGTGGCTTCTTCGAAAATTTTTCCATCTCTGGCTTAAGAGAATGTACCTACAGTATGTTAACTCTCAGATCTTATTGGATTGACTGAGGGGTTTGGGAGAGGAGGTCCCACAAGCACTTGGCCTTGTGCCAGGAGTGTGATAACCTGGACCCTGAATTCCACTCAGAAACCCACAGGCAATCAATGAATGTAAAGTGGCACTACCAGATGGCCATCTTGAGGTGCACCCAGATCTATTTGTGTTACCGATTTCTGGATTGGCTGAAGCTACAAGCCCGAATTTAATTTTCCCTTCCCTGTGACGAGAAAACAGAGAAGGAACATTGGCTTACCTGAATGTTCATTTTCTGTCTAGGTGGAGTGAGTCCAGATAGGATGGGTTATATCAGCTTAAACCCAGGAAAAGGTGGACATTAAACATGCAGTTAATTAGAGAAAAAGAATATACGAATAAACTTAAGGAGGAATTAAACTTTTTCTTAAAATCCTTATCATACCTTGAGTGTATTTGCGCATATGAAAACCAATTCATCTTTATACCTTGTTCCTCTAGTTTTTGCATAGATTTAAGTTCACCCTTTTCATTCAAAATTTCCCCATATCTAACTGTTTGTTCCTTCTTGTATATTATAGGATAGGAAAATGCTTCAATAGTCGATAACCAGACTGGAATTTTCAAATAGCATTGTCTTTTAATCTTCTCCCAATTTAACCACAGAGACTCCCATATATGTCTTCTAAAATACCCCTGTGTTTTGGTTCCCTTATACCATAAAAAAGCATGCCACCCCAACAACAAATCATGTCCTTCTAGTGTCAACAATCTAGTATTTCTTAATGTTATCCATTCCTTAGCCCACATCAAGTTTGTAGCTTGATAGTACAACTCCCAATTAGGCAAACCAAATCCTCCTCTAATTCTAGCATCTTGCAAGAGTTTTAATTTTATTCTCGCTTTCTTACCTTGCCATATATATTTCAACACAATTTTATTTAAATCTTCAAAGTAGTCCTTTCCAAGCCTAATTGGTATTGTTTGAAACAAATATAAAATTGTGGGTAAAATATTCATCTTGATTGTTGAAATTCTCCCTATTAATGACAATTGTAGATTTTCCCATTTCGTCAAGTCAAACGCTATCTGCTGTTTAAGTTTAATGTAATTGTTCTCTTTTAATGTACTACATCAATGCTCAATACTCAATGTATCCCCAAATACTTAACCTTGTTCGTGCCTTGAATTTTCAATAGGTCTGCCAATTCTTCTTTTTGTCTTAGTAGCATATTCTTTGTCAAGATCTTTGTTTTATCTTTATTTATTTTCAAACCAGCCACCTTGCCATATGCCTCTATCTTTTCCAATAATTTTGGTGCTGTTTCTAAAGGGTCTTCTAAAATAAAAGCCAAATCATCTGCAAAAGCTTGCAATTTAAATTCTTCCTTTTTAGTTTTCATTCCTTTTATACTCTTTTTGTCTCTAATATTTCTATTTAACACTTCCAAAGTTAATACAAATAGCAAAGGTGATAATGGGGATCCTTGTCTTGTACCTTTTCTTATATTGATGGAATCTGTCAATTCTCCCTGTATTATTACCGTTGCTGTTTGCTTTTGGTATATGGCTTCTATTGCTTGAATGAATTTTCTGGCGAAACCCATCTGTTCCAATAATAATAGCATGAATCTCCAATTCACATTATCAAATGCCTTTTGTGCATCTAAAAATATCAAAGCCATTTGTTTTTCGGGGTGTGCCTCATAATATTCCAAAGTGTCCAAAATTACTCTCATAAAATTTTATAATCTGCATTTAGTAAAGAAATAGGTCTATAATTCTTAATTTGCAATGGATCAGCCTCTTCTTTTGGAATAAGTGTAATATAGGCTTCTGACCATGTTTTAGATAGCTTCTTCTTTATCATAACTTCATTCATGACTTCTAACAATGGAGTGCTCAATGATTCTTGTAATATTTTGTAGAATTCTGTCGGAAGCCCATCTGGGCCTGGTGCCTTTCCATTATTTTGCTTCTTAAGTGCTTCAGTTAATACCATCATTGTTATATTGCTTTCTAACATTTTTTCAGTCTCTTTAGGTATCTTAGGTAGATTAGCATTCTGTAAATACTGTTTTACTCTTTCATCATCAATATTCTCTTGCTTATATAGTTGCCCATAAAAGTCTCGAATAATTTCCTTTTTCTCTTTATTGCCATAGCAAACGTGACCTTGATCATCTATTAACTGTAATATTTTCCTTGATTCTTTCTCCTTTCTCAATTTGTATGCTAACCATCTACCTGGTTTGTTTGCATCTTCAAAATAGTTCTGTTTAGCACTTTTAATTTTCTGTGCTAATTCTTCTTTCTCTATTTGACCCATTTTGTGTTTAATTATGTCCAATTTTAGTTTAATGTCTTTTTTCTGCGGCATTTTCTGTAGCTCTTTTTCAAGTCTTTTATGCTCGTCTTCTAAAGCTTTAGTGGCTTGCCTTTTCCTGATGTTCCTTTTCCTTGTATAGTCTATTATCAAGCCTCTAGCATATGCCTTCATTGTGTCCCATACATTCTGAATTGAGGTATCTTCTTTTTTTATTTTCTCTAAAGAAAAAGGCCAATTCTTTCTCCATCCGCTGTGTGAAGTCCTTTTCCTTTAAAATAGTATTATTTAACGTCCATCTCGATCTTCTTTTTTGTCCTTTCCATTTGATTGTCACTGGATTGTGGTCTGCCCAAGTACTTCTTTCAATATTTGTTTCTTGAATATTAGATATTAGTTCAGTTGAAATCCAAATCATATCTATTCTGGACCATGATAAATGTCTATTTGAGTAAAAAGTGTATTGTTTGGTTTTAGCATTTCTTTCTCTCCATATATCTTTTAAGTTTATTTCATCTGTCATTTTAAAAAAGGATTTAGGGAGAGTCTTTCTATTTTGCTTTGTTGTTGCTGTATAATCCAATTTGTTGTCTACAATTCCATTGAAATCTCCCATCATAACTATATTAACATAGTCCAGTTCAATTATTTTCATATGTAATTTTTTATAGAAAAGAGCATAAAGAGAGCATAAAGAGC